TTGTCCCAGTTTGTATCTTGCTATTGGGGTCTCCAGCTGGGCTAATTCTCTGGAGGGTTGTCCACTTCCATGTTTGCCTGGGGCAGCCTTCTTTCCTTTCACCACATCATATACCAGCAAGCGAACTTTCAGTGGCTCATTCAAGGCATGTCAGTTTGGCAATCGTCGGTCTCGCAGCTGTGGAAGCTCTAAGCTGGCACCTTGCAGAAGCACCGGAACACTACCACGCTTGAGGGAGCAGGAAGATCTCTGGCAGCAGAATCGTCCAACGGATCTCCCGGCCTAGGTTTTCAGCTCCACTAGCAGTCTCCATCTCTGCCAAATTCTGGCATGGGGCTTAAAGTTCGGCATGTGGACCACTAGAAAGACAGTGCACATTCCAGCATGTCAGACTCGCCAGCATGTCATCGCCCGCAGAAGTGCCGTTGGTGAAAGCCTGTGAGTTCGTTCGTTCGAGAAAACCCGCAAGCCCGATCTTGAGCTCTCGAGAAGAGGAAGATGAACAGATATGAAAGAAGCCCAGCGAAATGCCGTCACCCCAAGTCATCATGACCCACAGAAAGTCCCCTGCCTTCCGCGTCCTGCCGTCCGCGTGCTGCCAAAAAAGCGCGTCGCGGAGCGCCGGGCTCCGGGCTGCACATGCAGGGTGGCTCAGTTGAGGGGTTGGAGAGCGGGGAGGGGCCCTGACTTCCCACACCAACTTGGAACCCCACCAAGCCGTGGGAGCAAGCTGAGAACATGAGCCATGCACCTGGAGTAGAGGTTCGACGTGAACGGAAGCGACTCAGTGACCTAGGTGACCCGTCTTCTTTGAGCTGAAGCACTTTCTTTTCGGTTTCTTTCACCGAGCGTTGGCTCAACCCGGAGCGTAACAGCAAGTCTGATCAAGCTTGACAGGTCAGGTGATGTGGGTAACAGATCACTTCTCAGACCTGTCTCCCACGATGTTCTTCGGTGTTTGGATCTGCAGAGCGGAACCTAACATCTCAGACAGTCTTTGGGGCTGCATTTTGGCGGATGGGAAAGGTGGATCATTTGCAACATCTTTTTAGGGGGGATTGGGAACCAAACCCCCTCTTCCAAAGGTGGACAGTTTGTCCCTCGATTTTCCAGGGTTCTCCCCCCCTGCTCACATGGACCCTGTGGTTTTCCTTGAGCCACCCACGTGGGTCTCCAACCGACGAGTCCGACGAATCCCCGGAACGTTTTGCCAGGTCGACGGGGGCCGGGAAACCGAGGGTTCCAAGTGGGACATGGGTTCCCTACGGGCATATGACATACTGATATTAATATATATGCCTACATACATATACAGGACTATAGGACTTGTAGGGATTTGTAGGGATTCATTTTGAGGATGTTTGATGTCCAAATTTGTGGGTCTTCACGGCATCTAGCAGTTGCCGTGCACGAAAACCGTAGTTGGGCCAAGGGGATTTTGTTCGTCAACAGCTGGATTTTAGGAATCAGACTCTTATATGCTAGTCATCATCCCGCTGCTCTTTGTGGGTGTGTTCATGCACCTAAAACAGAAAAGCTTTTTGTTGACCGCAGATCAAAACGAGTGAATGAAGCGCATCGTCTACAGAATAAACGCCTGCCCACCATTGTTTCAGCTGCCCACCATGGTTTCAGGCCCCATGCCCCACACCCACCTGGAGTTTCTTCCTCCCTGACCCGACGTTTTGACTCAAAAAGATGTCGATCACCTGTGCATATGGCTTTTGACTCTCAGCCTGAGCTGTCGAAGATCTTCAGCTCCTTGACTGAGGATGCAGCATACCAAAGCTTGGAAGAGGAGGCTGGAGGAATCACTAAAGCCACCGATTGAATACAGACAAGGCGACGCGGTAGCTCCCTGAAAACAAGCCACCTTCACATCTTTGATACGTATTCTTTCCTACTTCAAAGTGACCTTTGATCCCCTGGTTGGCTAAGTTAGGTCATAAACACTGTGGAAGGTCGACTCCGTTAGTTTGAAGCAGGCATGGTCCGCTACCCGGCTACCCGACTCGACTCTACTGGTCACCAATTGATACCTGATATCTCTTCAACTAACGAGCTGTTGGAGGGTCCTGCTAGGTGTGGGGAGTTTTCATTGGAACTCTTCGACTGCCGCAGTCCATGTCGTGGCCGCGGAGGCGTGTTGCTTGCGGCCCGCCTGCCCATGTTGGATTGGAGGGGGGGACCTGGGTCGCCAACGGGTGCACGCGCAACGCACTCGGAGGCTTTGAGTCATCGTTGGGCGGTGGCGCCCCCACGCGCATGAAGATGGGCGGCAGTGGCTCATTTGGGGTGCTCACAACCAGAAGGACCCGCAAGGTTTTGACCATTTGTTCTTTCACCCGGACGCTTGAGACCAACCCCATTTCTGAGCCACTGCCTTCAAGCGAGCCCCAAGCTCGGCGGCGCCACGCGTCTGGGAATGCCGGGGATGCCGCGCGCCAGGTGTTGCCGCGGTTTGCAGCGGTCCCTCGCCAGCACGGAGGGCCGGCGGCAGCTGCTGCTGGGCGCTGCGCTCACGCTGGTGGGCGCCGGGGGTTGAGGCGCCAGAAAGGGGGGACCCTTCAACTGGGACCCGAGGCCATGAACAATTAATCAATCCCTTCCACCTACTAAAAAAGACACGGCCCCCCCCAATTAGCAAAAACTCGGGATTATCATATAACTCACTCGTTACTTTATTTTGGCATGCGTTTGCTCTGCAGGCTCAATGGCACGGCGTGTCCGTGTGTGCCATCGTTGTCTTTGCCCGCAGGGCCGGCCAGCGAGAGAAGCAAAACCACTACTAGAACAATGAATTCGTAGAAGCTGAGTGATCCCTATCTTGGATCACCAACCACCGAACATGTGAATTTTCATGAATTTTCTATAATTTCTATCAAAACAGGGGTCAAATGGATTCGATGATGTTCAAGGTTTATTCTGCCCATGGACGAGGCAATCAAATAATTGTGCGATGGTACTGCTTTGTCCAAGTATGCCAATTTGCGGAAACAAAGGTCCAGAGAAGAGATGTCAGTGGTTGGGATGGGACCAGTGCAGGAGTTGCATGAACAGTGGTGGCAATTGGAGAAGTTTGAGAGGCATGATCTTGGAGACTTCCCAGGGTCAGGACTTGATTTTCTTGTCGTGTAGGCTTAAACGAAGGGTGATTCCCTTCGTTTCAGCACCAAAGAGCCCTTCGATCCCCCGATCTTCGAGGGTTTGGGGAAGGGCAAAGAATAGGACCTTATAAAACCTTGGATGTGATGGACTTCCCAGTTTCGGTTGGTCGAACTTGAGCAGATGGTGGCATTTGGGCCCCAACGAGGTGGTCCATCCAGTCGATCCAGTGGTCAGAAGCGACATCCCCACCGCGCAGCGTGCTGGTCAGAAACCAACAACAACCGCTACCTGTCATGAATTCTACTCCTCGCCTCGCGTGTTTTTTTACGTGTCGTTGGTACCCTCTTCGAAGGGACGGGCAGATGCCACATCCGTCCGCTCTTCCCCCCTGACAGGTGGCGTTGATGGTGTTGAGAGGACCACTCTTGGACCTCCTGGGCTTCGTCCTGAAGGTGGGGCCGAACAGCTCAGCGGACCCTGCGGCTACCACCGGGCGACGGGCCGGAGCGGAGGCCGGTCCGGTCCCACGTGCCGTGGCCGGTCTCCCAACAGTCACCATGGATTTTTTCCCCATGGTTCTTCATTGATATGAGTCAGTTAGATAAATTAATAGATATCATGGTGTAAAGAAGTTCTGTGGTCAATCTTCCGGCAGACGTCACTCAAAACAGCGTCAGCCCAGCTGGTCGGGTGGGTCTCTCACCAACGGATGTGGCCTGCTGTTTTCAACAGTTTCCCTAGCCTTCAAAGACCATTAAAAGAACGGTTGAGCTGGTGGTGTAGTGTAAAAATCCTTAGTAAAACAATGGTTCTTTGGTAAAGACCATTAAAACAATGGTTGTTTGAATCCAGGGGTTTCATTTTCATACTGAATCATCCTGGGAGACCGTATCATCCTGCGAGACCGTCGCCACCTTTGCAGGATTTCGGGTTCGGTCAAGGGCTCCTCCACTTGGTACAAAAGTGTTCTAAGGTTTTCGCATGTTTTAGCTTTTCACAGGCTCTTTGATTTGTGTGGCTCTTGGGATGTATTGTTCGACAGAAACAACAGGCTTGAACGCGTTTTTGGCATGAGCGAGTCGGTGTAGTACATATACATCCATGTACATTATTACTTTGAGTGGCACAAATGTCAATCCAAATGTTGATTCATTTTTTGCTGTTGTGCTGATGGCAGCCTGTGCCAAACGCAGAAGAAAGACAGGTCGTTGAATCTTGGCCAGAAATTCAGGGTTTCTTCTGAATGTTGAATGGGTTGAACGAGTTTTGGGGCGTTGAAATGTCGAATCTTCGAGGTTTGTGAGTACTTCTTGAAGCCGCTGCTCTTGGTGACGGATGTGGTTCCTCCGCCAGCTGCTTATCACATGTTGGATCTCCAAAGGCCCACTTCGCAGTTGCCGGCAGAGCGTGGCCAATTCGCGTGGTCTGCATACAAGTCTCGTCTTCCATTAAACTATCAAACATTAGTGTAAGGGGAGAGACGGGGATAGGTTCCAGGTGGACGTTCTCTCAAAGTGACTGCTGCACGATCCGTAGCAACAGCTGTTCCCTAATCTGAGACCAGTGGGTCCTTCTTTTTTCAAGCACGTTCCATTGAAGCATTCGGTGTTGGTCCCAGTTTGCGGAGCTGGCGCAGAGCCAATGGGTATTTTGGAAGTGTTTGCACGCCTTCCCAAGCTTTTGTTCGGAAACCAGAAAGACCTTTGCGGTTTTCCTACCCTTGTGGTTAGGTTTGGGACTGTTTTGGAGTCTTTTAGAGGCTGGCCCTGGAGGAGGACAGAGTGCACCTTAGAAACCCGGCCTAGGCCAGTCTTGGAATTGCTGGGCGTGATCTCCATTGGAGGACGTCGTTCCATGGGTGTGGGAGGGTGAGCCGGGGGGTGAACCACCTGGAGATCAATCAGTTTTCTTCCTCTTTTGTGGTGGCGATATGATGCTATAGGGCCTACTATAGGGTCATATCAGTGGTCTTATATGGTCTTATGGTCTTATCATGGCAGTGCTGATAGCTTTTGCTGGTGCCGGATTTCATGACCCTCGCTTTCGTCTCCCACGGCCGGGCCTTCTGGGACGACCAGGCCGCGTTCGGTGCGCGGCTCTCCAGGCACCGCGGCCTACCTTTGCTACAAAGGTCCGGGTTTCGACGGCGCCGGCACGAAGGTCGTTCGTCACACGAACTCCGCGTGCCGGGTGCGGCTGGGAGGCCTCTCAGACATGGCTGTAGGTGAACACACGGCAAGGAGCTCGGCCTGCATCCTGGTAGGTTGACCTGTAGATCGTCTATTAGTGGGGCAAAACCCCCGGTGTGCTTCCACAGCCACATTCTTCCGCTTGTGCCAGTGACCAGTGACTCCTTGCAGGGATCCAAGGGGCTTGTAGGCATACCCGTGCCCCCCTGCTATTCTGCTTCTCTTTTGTATGCATCTTATTCACCGTAGCAGTCACTTGTGGTGGTTCTCCTCATTTAGCTGCCATCCATCATCAGCTGCTTAAAACTGAGTGAATCGGTAGGACGGTGGCCGTCTTCAACATGAAAGAAGTCATGCATTGGTTTTCAGAGGTTCGATGGCACAATCCCCCCAAAAGTGTTTTACAAGGACCCCCATATAAACGACATCTTGGGGTGCCAGTGCCATCTACTTCTCCAAACCACTGTAAGAAGGCGATGTTCCAACCTGGTTTTTTGAGGGGTGTTTTGAGACCTGTCTCGTCCATTGAGAGGTGGCGTTGAGAGCGTGAAGCCATGACCTTCACTCGGTCACGGTGCACCCCGGGGCTTCTTCTTCTTCGAGAAGACTTCCCCCGGCAAACACCCCCCAAAGAAGTGGAGAAGACCTCCTCCTGGTAGAGGAGAGTAGTCTTCCTTTCGGGGCCATCCACGTAACGATTGTGGGTGAGCCGCGCTCTGGAGCGCCCATGCAACAAATATCGAGGGGCCCTTCAAGAGCACACTGCCTGCGCCGGCGCCCGTGCAGATCCCAACACCGCCTGCCTTTTTGTGGTGTTGCTGTTGGCTGGGGGCGGGTGCGCCCTGGCCAGTCCGAGAATTGATCTCGCTCTGCCAACACCTTTTGATACTGTACTTTTTGTGTTTCTTTGTATATGTCTGGGTATTCTGCAGGAGCAAGTCAAAGAGCATTAGCCTTTAATGATTAAAATTGTCAATGATGGTTCATGGTTGGTGCTCCTGGTTGGATCCTGGCTATTCTGGAGGTACTTCCTTGCCAGCGTGACCATCTGGTACAAGCCCATTGATGTGTCCGGAGCTGCACGTTGGGCCGGGTTTCCGTGTGAAGATGGCCGGCCGGAGGGCGTTCAAGTCCCTCTGGTGGTCCTGGACCATGGTCGTCGACCCCCAACAGCACTGGGCCGCTTGGTCGCGGTCTTTTGGGGGGTCTTTTTGTTGGGGGTTGAGGCAGTCCAAAGAGCTGATTGGGAGCACTTTTGAACCTTTTTGGGGGCCAAAGTGGGGTTCCTTCCAAAGAAGGCGACCGACTGAATGGCAAAGGCCAAAGCTGGCTTTGCAAGGTGCGAAGAATGTAGATGAGTCATTGCAGCATGCAGAAAGACTAGAGTGGCGTTGTCGGATGTGGAAGATCAGCACCACTCCGCGTTTCGCAAGACGTGGGTTGCATGGTTTCACATGGTTTCATAGGGTTTTGATGGTTGTTTCACCACACCACCTCTAAGCGCCGCCGCCTGGCAGAGGGTGTGTGACACGTGTGGCATCGATGTTGCCTCCGGCATCCTCCGGCTGAGGCGTCCAAGGACTTCCTTCAGCTCAGCGACGATCATCCAATAGGTCCCGTTGCTCTGAACGGACTCGGGCTCCCCTGAGCCGCCCGTGGCGCGCTGGGCATCGCCGCAAAAGAGGCCGACCGTGCCGACCGTGGCCGAAGCCGATGAACGGTGCTGGTGGATGGTCCGACCCAAGTTCGACGTGGGGGGGCTTGAGAAAAGATCAACATCATCCTTCAACCACGTCGATCGCTGTGGCGTTTCGATGTTCGCGCAAACACTGAGAGTGCGATCGGCGGTTTTCCGAAACACCACTGTGACCTGTTTTGCCGTCGCCGGAGCACCTGAGCGTTTTCGGACCAAACCGACCCCCAATCACTGGACATGACTAAAGAACTACAGCATGCAAGAGTGTTTTCCGCCATCCTAAAATCTTTTTTTCCCCAATATAGTTGTACACGTCGTGTCATCCCGTCGTGTTCCTCCGGCTCCAGCTGCGCGCATCCGTTTCCGCGCGCCCCGTCCCTCTCCGGCGCATGCGGAGCCGCCGAAACGGCGTCGTACCGGGCGCCGTGTGCCGCGGCGTGCGGGGCGCCCAGTGTGCTGGGGGCCAGGGTCTCCCCTCCCAACCTTCCATCTCTACCAGCACCCTCCCAACCTCTGGCTTGTGGCCTGTCAAGTCGAGTGCTGGTACACCGGGTGACTGACGCCAGGCGCAGGATGGTCAATGTGCCAACCTTGAAGGAAAGAGTGGCATGGCCGACAGAACCATGATGTATGATGTAGACTCTTGATGAATAGGCTCCACCATAAGAGGTTTAATCTTTACATCAAGAGTCGACCTGAACCAGACGCTGCTCCTACCTTCGCTATGCCAGCACCGCTTCTGCCTCCGCACGTCACGCCGGGCGCGGGACACCGGGCTGGACGGGGACACCGGGAGATGCGGTGGCCCTTGGCCCGGCTTCCTTCGTTCAGATGGCACACCCTGCGACATTGGAGCAACAGCCAGACGAGCAGGCGGCGTCTACAGCAACGGTATAGAATTCCTCATCCTGTTGGATCACGGTGAAAGCTGAAAACGGGATGGAGCGCAGCTGCATGGTGACAGCTACACCTGGTTCCAAGATTGTGGCAACGGATCTGATAGGAAAAGGATGGAAAGGGTGATCAATGGCCGGGGCCTTCTATTGTTCCTTGCAAGCTGCTTGACACCCGATCATGGGAACCCTGGGAACCTGGCACCCGGTATAAGAGATGTCAACCTACCATGGAAAAGGAACCCATCTCCTCTGATAAGGAATGTCCAATCTACCATGCAATGGTGGGGGAGGCGCCATGATCCACAGCCACATCTCCGGTGGAGAAGAACCGCCCGATGGGGCCTGAGGGGGCGGCATGCAGCCGGGGCGCTCGGGAATGCGTGGACCGCGCGCGGTGTCCAGCGTGGACGGCGTTCGGGGGTGGGCAGTCCAACATCGACGGGTCAAAGGTTTTGTAACCCCAGAAAGCCCCCGACTAACAACGCTTGATCACCAAGCCAACTCGGATTTCTACTAAGTGTGGTGTTCCCAGACCCTGCCGGCCTGGCGGCCAACCCTTTTCGGTCGTCTTTGCGCGAGACTGTTTGGTTGGCCGGTCTTCCGCCGGGGCCGTCTCTTCAGCTCACGGCCAGGCCCCAAAAACCACGTGGGGTATGTGGGGTTCGATGGGGTTCGCGGTCCGGTCGTTGTGGTCCCAGTCGTTCGGTCGTCAGGTGGATCCTCCAGTCGTCTTAGGGCTCGAAGACCAGTCCAACACGAGTCCAACACGAGTGAAGGATGATGATGAAAATACCTGGAAGAGATTGGAAAGCCTCAAAACCGCGAAGATCCAGTCTCAACCGACCGCATCACCACCAAACCCGTGAAGGACCAGTCCACTTCGCTCCCTTCGTTCGACCAGACACGACTCTTTTCCGCTCGAAGCCGAGGGGCAGCGATGGGCTGGCTCAGAGGGCGTACCAGGGGCCTGATATGCCGGAGTGTTGTGCAGATAGCGGGGGTTACTTGTTCGATGATCTGGGGAAAGTCGCAAGAATTGGAAAAGACACCTTTGCTTGGAGTACTGATAGATGTTCTTTGGTGGTTACTGTACATGATCTTGCATGTTTTGCGTGTGCAACATGTGCAAGTGGCAGTGCCCACTCTATGATCTGCTTGAATGAAGTGATGTCGTGGTTGTGGCCCACTCTCGTCCCCCCTGCCGGGAAGGGTTTATGCCCCAAGTCCTTGGATTTTTCGTGGTTGGCCATTGCAATGAGAAGCACCAAAGAACACCAAAGAACACCGGTGTGTCCAACGTTATCTTCTGGCTTCTCATGAAACTGACCACAGTGCCCAGCCGCGCGTGCGTCCACGCCACCGCTTCGGCCTTCAACGGCCTTCCGTTCGCCCTCAAACGGCCGACCCGTTCCGCGGGAGGCCGATGAATATGGCGGTGAAGATGCTTCTTTCGCCCAAGGCCCCGAGCCGCGCAGACACCAAAACGGCATGACACTCGACGTGGGGGGGCGCGAATCCGGACGGCCCATGGTGTTGGTTTTTTCTTTTTTCTTCCCAGTCTTGAAGTCGGGGGCTAACAGGCTGTTAACAGGTGTTTCCACTCTTGACTTTGGAGTTCTTGGGGGTTTTCTCCCCAAAATGGCCGAAGTCCTGGCAGTCCTGTGAGTCGTGCGGGCTGACCCGTGGTGTTTTCATGACGACTGCTGGGGATCCTGCGGGTGCGCCGACATCATCTCGCAGGGGAGATCCGAATCCTCGCTTGATGCTTTTCACGATGGGTCCATGTCAATCCCTTCAACTTGACACATTTAGTATACCGTATACTAACATATGTGCATGACCACCGCGATGCGAAAAGGATGGGAATAAGGGCGATGCTTAGTCAGGGATGTCTACAAACCAGCCTTTCCATGGTGTTTTCCTGGTGTAACTGTGTACTCTTCTTTTGGGTCCCCTTATCGGGCCTTTGGACCTGCTGAGTACGCTTCTTCCTGTCCATCCTGCCTTTCCAGGAATCCACCTGCGTCCTGGGTCCCAAAGGCGCCTGAGTTACTCAGGGCGGTGAGGGGGATGTCTGAGCTGCAACCCGCAGCATCTCTCGGAAGGTTTTGAAAAACCGCCCTTCAGAAAGCGGAAGAAGTCGATTGAAGATCGGAGATTCCCCCTGAAAGATTTTGAGGCAGACGTGACGAAGTGACTTAAACTTTGTGTTTGGATATGTTTGGAGATGTCAGCACTGTCAGCACGCATTCAGCACGCATTCAGCACGCCGTCACAGGAAAGTGCTTCGAAGCGGTCGAGAGCATTCTTTGTTTCGTCATTTGTGTTTGGGGGCCATGGATGAAGACTCTGTAATGGCTGCTTGGTAATGGCTGCTTCGGTTGGACGTTCTGCCGGTTTCCGCACCCACAACCCACCGACCAAGTGGGCGCGCAAGTGGCGCTCCGGGTGGCTGAGGGCGCCGTGCCGTGCAGGTAGCAATAGCAAGCAGATCTTCGACCAGACTGGAGTGAGGCCGGGACCCTTCTTGGCAGCATCCGGGTGTTGTGCGCTGTAGAAGCGCGCGTAGGTCGGTCCAGAGGGACGGTGTTGCGGGGCACTCTGGGTTGACCCGGAGAAGAAGTTCCAGGTTTCCCCGGTTTTTCGGGACGTCCACTTCTCAAGCATGGTGGGGCAGTGGGTGAGGTCTGGTGCCACCCCGTGGTGCCACCCGGGCTGGCTGGGGAGTCGGAGTTCTCCCCTGCCTTGCGAGGCTGCATTTGAGTTCCAAAGGAGACTTCTACCCAGGCACGTCGATGCAGGACGCTCGTGGAGTGCAGCGTGGAGTGGGTGGAGTTGGACGCTTGTTTTTGGTTCGAGATGGGAAGCACCCTGGAGGAACAAGTTGAGGAACCCGTTTCACACATATATCGTATAGACGCCTGGAAGTCTAGTACTTATAAATCTACTTTTGGCACCACCAAGGTAGAGGAAGTTCCTTGCGGATCACCTAAAGACAAGTTTCAACAGAGGCTTGGACTTCCAGGGTTTATGTCTGTCCTGGGAGTCGAGCCGAGTTTTAGGTGTTCGACAAGGAGTTTCTTGTACTTCGGTGGTGCCAGATTTCTACTTTGCAAGTCTGTATGGGCTTTGGGACTTCTGGGGTATATAGTACACATCTACTTTTGGAATTAGCGAGCGACTGGTGGTGATCCAACCAAGAAAAAAGGTCGGACAAATCCTGTAGGTTTGATCCGTCCCTCGGTTTCCCGATGGGATCAACTGAAGCCGTGTTGTTTGTTTTTGTTCCAACCAGATCCATGGAAAAAAAAGGGCCCTCTCTGGTGGTGCATCCTGCTAGCGCTACGACTGCTTGGCGGAGCTCATGAGTGCAATTGTATGATGCCGTACGTACGGCCTGGAAGATTAACATGGAACCTGAAAACTGGTTTGTGGAGGAAGCTAGCCTTTCAATTAATTCTTTAGGTTGAGTGCAACTGTATGAAATTGTGTGTTCTTTTGGGGCCATCTAGCCTGAAGTCATCGCCCAGGTTCCCAAGTAAATCGTTTTGAAGATCGGAACTTGTGTATATGTGTGTGCGAGCGTGTCACAAATGCACATCGCCTTAAAAAAGACAATCACAAAAAACACACGGGGGATTGAAGTGAAAAACCCTTGGTACAACAATGGTTGTTCGGGATTCAGGCTATTAGATTAATGGTGGGCCATGAATCCTAGGGAAATGAAGCTTCATGGCTCGGGAACTGTCGGCGCCGTTGGTGTTTGGCGCATTGGGCAGCGCCACGCCACGGAGGAGCTCTTGTTGAGGGGCTCTGGGGCAGATGTGGTGCAGATGGCGCTGCTGCAGGCCATACTGTAGTTCTCATGGTTTTGAGGGGTGCTCAGTGGTTTTGGAAGGTTGTTGGAATTCTTCGGTGTACATCTTGCACGTGAGATTCACCTGCGGTGACTTCGCGGTGTGGGGTGTATCGGTGTGCGGTCTGGTCCAATCGAACGAATGGGATACCCCTATGATACCACACAGCCCGCGCAAGCTTGTTCAAGCGAAGAAGGGTGGATTTTCCTCAGCGAAGGTCTCACTGCAGGGA